GCTACTGGCCAATCAGTATTTTATTTATACAGATGATATCCACAGCACTTCCCCTTTTTCTTTTTTTTCAAAAAGGAAGGTTTTAACTTTCACGTAGTAAAATTACATATAACAAAACAATTACCAAGCAAGAATTACAGTTACAATATCTAGTCTATTTATAATAACTAGTCTATTTGTATTTGGCAAAATTAAAGAAGACATCCTATCTATCTTATTTTCATGAGTCTAAGGTTTCATATCTAACTTACCTTTTACCATAACCAAGGAAAATTATAACTATCTAGTCTTCAACTACATCAAAGGCCTCAGAAGGATATAATATTACCTGAGAAATGGGAGATGTATGCAAGCAACTTTCGAGAGTCTTGCGAGAGTAGACAGAGACAGCTGACAGCCTGGACAGACATCCAAAGTTCTTTTGTAAAGTTGGGGCATCTGTCTTTAGCCCACAGGTCTAGAGTCTCTCAGTGACTTTTCTCTGTGTCCTGTAGAATGTCTGGCAGTTTCCTCTGTGAAGCAGGAACTTGAAGGACCATTTTGCCAAGCAAAGTTCAGTGGTCACCTTCCTATGGATCCTGCATGTCCAGTCAAGCAAGCAGTCCATGCAAGAACAGTTTCTTACCCAAATGGCTATTTTTGCGAAGAAGATAAACTCCATATAGAGTGTCTTCAATGTTCATCCTCCTCTCTGAAGTAAATCTGGTGCTGCCAGGAGCAGACATGTCTCACTGTCCAGAAAGCCTAAATTTTTAACACATTTTAAATACCATATTCTGTAGGTCTTTGAAGTGTTTGAAGATTACCTATCTACCTACCTATCTATCTGAAATATATCTATGTATACCTAGAAAACTTAACATGACTACAAATTTGACTATCACAGAAGACTAATTGTTTCATTACAATTTAAATGAGTTGTATAAACATAATACCTTAAACAAGAGTAAAAATACACATACAGTATAACAAAATTAACTTTAAATTTGTACCAATAAACTAAAATCCATAGCAATGTAAAACATTTTTAAACAAGTTGCTCTTTAAAAGTAGATTCAATAATCTACCCTTTTATCCTATCATATCTGTATCACATCCCCTTTTCTTCTTTAAAAAGAGATCGCATTTATAATCAACCTGATTTAAATAAATATAATGGTTTTTCTCTGTCTCACACCAGAGGGCTCTTCTGATATGGGACAAAAGAGTTTCTCAACTTTTTTTTTTTAAGCAATATGTTTGGGTTTAGAGGAGTGAGCCAATTCCATCTCCAAAGCCAGCTTGGTATATTTGCAAATTTGGGAATAGCTTCTCTTAATACTTCCTGCTGGATGGGGGCGCTGTATCTTATGGGTGCACAAAGAATATTTTAGGATTATGGAGTAGCGTGTGAGGGTGTGTCATCTGAGCTAGTTGCCTTGAAACTGTTCTGGATGTTGGATAATCTGGGCCATGATGTCACTGGAGACCTTTCAGGGGGTCTTGGCTGGTCAAACCTGATGTATCTTAATCTGGAACAAATCGATATCATCTGGCTTTCTGTAGAAACAAAAGCAGAGCCTCCTTTTCCAAAGCAACACATCCTTAGATCCAAATTTTGAAGTCAAGGTATCTTTAAAATATACATATTGTCTTAACTCAACAGCTTATACAATCAAATGTCTTTCTGCAGTTAAGAATATCAAGGACAACATAATCCAGATTTTCTGTGTAATATCCATCTTTATGTGGCTTATTTTTTATACTACCTTTATTGTCTCTTTAAAGATTTTATAAACTCATTAAAGAGTAAGTGTATTAATTTGAAAGACATTATAAGATAGTTCTGTTAGTAATATAAGTTAGGATAGAAAGTGAATCAAGTTGTTTAGGTATTTATTGCTTGTATATATGATATATAGTTATTGTACTTTTGTATATAGTTTTTCTTATATTAGTTATAACTTTTTTCCTTTTTTCTTTTTATTAAAATAGAAAGGAGGAATATGGTAATATTTTATTTGTACTGAAATGTGATTTTATTTGCATGTTAATAAATAAAGTTACCTGGGGGTTAGAGCTAATAGCAAGCCATAGCAGAAGTCTGGCAGTGGTAGCACATGCCTTTAATCTTGATCACATGACAGGCAGATCTCTGTGTGTTCAAGGATACCACCAGCATGGAGACACATGCCTTTAATCTCAATACCAAGCATAGAGACCTAGAGGTCTGTATGGACAGGCAGGGACGAGGAGGTTCATGTGGTTGGGTTTACAACCAATAAGAAGGCAGAACAGAAAGTCAATAAAAAGACAGACACACAGGAATTAGGCCTCTTTTGGAGGGGAAGGACAGCAGTGGCAGCGAAGGGTAAGAAAGAGTTTTTAGTATCAGCTCTTAGCTACTACTCTGACCTCTTGGGCTTTTAACTCTGCATTTGGCTCTGTGTTTCTTATTTAATAAGACTGTTACATCTACATTTTACAGTATTTATGTGCCACTGATACCTTTATTTTCTCATGGTGCCAGATAAAGTATTTAGTCTCCAGAATTAAAGACTAAGATTTCAAAGATTTTTTTCTTATACAAATGATATTTATAATAATTTTTAAGACAAGTTTTTATCAAGATAAGTAAGGTCCCTTAGATTCCAGTTTCAAAGACTCGGAACATAGTCCACAGCATTTCCCTATGTCATATCATTGTGAGAACTTTGGGGATTTCTATGTCATATCATTGTGAGAAGTTTGGGGATTTCTTCACTGTAGCCATTTTAAATTGCCCAGATCATACAATAAATAACAATATTGCTTCATGTTTTATTTTCAGGGAGAGTCAAGTCAACCTAAAACTCTACTTACTTGAGCATTATTGGTGGAACCCTTATGTTAAAGATGAGCTTAAACAATCCTACACAGGGGTGGGGTGCTGCCCTCAGCTTTCTCTTGAAATGGAATGTACATATCAGAGTGGAAAAATAAGCTGCTGGGAGCATTCGTTCCCCAGAGTTCTCACAGAAAGCACTACTGACTATCATCTGTCCATAGCACATCTCATAGTGACTGTTTAATAAAAGGGACAGAGCTGATTGATGCTCAGATACCCCATGTAGTCAGATAATATTCTTTCTACATTGTTGTCTTTATTTATATGTCCTCTCCTTTCTTTGGTGAAGGATGTGAGAAACTTTACAACAGTTTTTAAATGGCCCATCATTGTCATTGCTCATTTGCTTGGTCATATGCTCTGCACAGTATGCTTCTCTTTATTCTTGACTTCAGAGTCATTTTATTCTGTCAAGATATTTTGTTTTTATTTCCCTTTAATTTCTTTGATATTTTTAAGTACTTAAGCAAAAAATATATTGTAGATCTTTATTACTTCAGATATTATATTCTCATTAACTTTCATTAGCTTAAAATTAATAAAGAGAAACAAATAGATGTGTACTGAGGACCACCATGGCAAATATATACTGTTCATCATTTTGAGTGCCTGATAATAATGAAGAATATGATTCTGATAATAATGAAGAATGTAATCATTTTGTTTTAAAGTATAGCTAAAATAAGAGTAAGCTAATTGCTGTATTTTACAGGGAGAGTAGAAGCCAAAATTTTCCTTAGTAACAAAAATAATTTTAAAAGATCATGACTATAATCTGCCACATATAACTTTGCTGGTTCTAAACACATGGATGTGTGTGCTTGAAAATCAAGAGATTCTGGGATCCAGAAGAAGTAAAATCAATATGTTGAGATACCACATTCAATGTTCATGAATCAGTTCACAAGTTGACAAGAAATGGAAAATACCTATACATCCATTGAAGGTTGATAAATGAGGGAATATGTCATATATGTGTACTGAAATAAAGTCCTATCTTTCAAAAGCAGAAAATCCCAGGATTTGTGATACACTAATGAACCTGGATGACATTATGCTAAGTGGAATAATCCAACACAGAGCAACGTACATGATCTTCCTTACACACATAATGTATAAAAGCTGAACTCATATAGGCGGAATATAGAATAGTGTATGCTAAGTGATAGTGTGTGGGCTGGGCAATACTGGGCAAAGCATATGGCCAAATTTTCAGCTAATCAGGATGAGTAAGTTCTGGAATCTATTGCATAGCATAGTGACTGTACTTAATAATAGTGTATAGAGTACCTGACAATTTCTAAGACAGTAGATTTTAAATTTTCTTATCACCCACACAAAGGTAAGTATTTTAGCTGATAGATATCTTAATAATTTGACTATAGAAATCATTTCACAAGATCAGGGTGTATCAGGACATTGTGTTGCACATAATTACTATGTGTGTGTGTGTGTGTGTGTGTGTGTGTGTGTGTGTGTGTGTGTGTGTATTTGTCAGTAACACCTCAATAAGGAAAAATAAGAAATGAATACATTAATGGAGTTGTACTGAACACTTTCTTTTGCTATTTTACTCATAGTTTAATACATCTGTTCTTGTCCTAATTTCATTAAATGTATCATTATAAGACAATGTAACATCTCTATAGTCTTATCATTCACATTCATATTATTGATTTATATAGGTCATATTTACATATGATGTGAAGTGGCGATTGTGTGTCTTTGGTTTTCTGAAGGAACTACTTAGGCAGACTTTGTTCAGAAGTAGTTTTCTAGTTTGACTTTGGTTCCACACATGCACAATGTAATTAGGTTTCTGTGTCTGACTTGTATTGTGAAATATAATGTTCTATCCATTTTACTAAAAATGACAGGATTTCATTCTTCTTTATGGGTGAATTATGCTCCCTTCAGTGAAGTTAATCTCTGGAAGGCATAGAGCCAAGTACAAAACAAGATAGGATGCTAGAAGAGATTGCCTCAGGGGGTTACCAGCAGTCATTAAGACTTCCTTGCAGAGGGAATTTTCTCACAAGACAGATTTTCAGAATGGTCTCTTGTATTTCTCTGTGTTGTCATGATTCTTACTGCCCCAATATTGATACCATGATTATAATTTTATTTCCCAGGTATGATGCAGCCTGCAGCTTTGTGTTTAGCTGGATTCTTCATGGCCTTTCTTCTCTTACAGATCACCATACACACCCAAGGTAGAGACATCCTCCCCATTTTATTGACTAAATTTGTTCTTTGACAATTTCATACATGCTTACAAGACGTTCTGCATATTCCCCCCACAACCCTCTCTAATTCCCCTTTCACCGTTGTCATCTCCTCTTTTCCCAATGACATGTCTCCTCCTCAGAATCATGCTTTTTGCTTTGTTTTATAACCCATTGATTTTAACCAGGATTATTTGTGTGCTCACAAGTTTGGGACTATCTGTTAGGGCATGGTGGACTCAAACAATAGAAGTCAATGACTGTCTCTGCCTTAAAATCCACCAGGAGCCAATAGTTTAGTGTTGATGGCGATATAGAACCATCACTCCTGGGTATGAGTAATTTTCTGAATGATGATGACAGGCTCAGTCTTGTGCAGGTCCTTTGCAGGCTACTGAAGCTGCTGTGAGATTGTGTTTGCAATGGTTGTGTCATTCTTTAAGATAGCATTTTGTAGTAGTTTTCTCTATCACCTGGCTCTTACATTTTCTCTGCTTCCTCTCCCCATTTTTCCCTGACCTTAACTATCATTTACTGTATCTTGAGCATCCACAAGTCTCTGCATTCACAATACAGTAGCATAGGAAATAAGACCAACAATAGGCTAATGGGACTTTATGAAATTAAATAGTTTGTTAACAAAGAAAATTATCAATAAAATGAAGAGGCAGCCTTTAATCCTAAAGGCTGGAAGGCAGAAACAGGTGATCTCTGTGAGTTAAAGACCTCCTTGGTGTACATCAAGAGTTCCAGGCCTATCAAGAGACTCCATGAGACATCATGAGACTCCATCTCAAAAACAAAACAACTAAACAAAACAAAACAACAAAAAAGGGTATGTTTGTAACAACAATTCAAGAAAAAGAGGCCAGAAATTGAAGAGAGAGAAAGGGGTGCATGAGCGGGGTTGGAGGGAGAAGAAATGAAAGAAATTACATGACTATAATGTCATCAATAGCAATATTATCTGCAATATGTTTTTAATGAAGAGAGAATTGCATCACTTTCTCCCTTCCAGTCACTCCCAGGTATCCTGTGTCCAGTTCCTCTTATGTCCTTCCCCTAATCTCAAGTTGATAGCTTCTTTTTCTTTAATTATTATTGTCATGCACAAATGTATAAATATAATTTGTTGAGTGTTTTTTTTTTTGCTATTTGCATGCATATTGTCTCAGGGCTGATCATTCTGCATTGGACAACCAATGAAGGGGCACCTTCTCCCAGCAATCATTAGTTGCTTGTATTTCTTTGTCTGGGGTTGGACCACTCAAATATTTCCTCCTTCAACATTAATATGCCTGTTGATATTACCACTGTTCCATCCATTGTTTACTAGCCATCTCTAGGAGAGACTGTCTCATTCCCACCTGGCATTCTGGCTCTTACAATCTTTCCACCTTCTGCTTCTGCTATGTTCCCTGAGCTGTAGAATCAGAAACTATAATATAAATGTAGCTTCTGGGTTGGGCTCCCCACAATCTTTTGATTTATACATGTGTCTAGCCACAGTTTCTGGGATGGTCTCCATTTTCTGTAAAGGGGTATTTGTTAGATGAGGGGGTAGTAACTTCACCTGAGGATATAAATTTTAAAAGATCCAATAGATCCATTGTGAAATGTCATCCTTCACATAGCTATGAAATTATGAATTAATATCCCAAATGAAGCTAAAATAATTTGCATCTTATATATCAATACCTGAGATTATATGCATAGAAATACACATATACAAACCAAATGTAAAACAAATATGCACATATATGTGTGTATATGTACAGAAATGCATGTAGGGATAGGTATATGAAAACAGTTATTCATCCAAGTATTCTTCTCAATACTTTCAAATGCATTATGTACATGTTTTGCAAATTACTTTTAAAATATGAGTTTTAAGTAACTTTATATGAATATTTTGCTATTACTTTTACATTTGTGGAGAATTCTGTCCTGTGATCACTCAAAATCACTTTACCTGTGTTCTCCTATATAGATCTACTGAACTATTATGCTGAACCTTAAATAATAATGAAAGATAGGTTAAAGAAACATATACCATTAAAATAAGAATGAAAGATTTATTATTATTTCAAGATATTGTACATAAATTCAATACTATAATTTAAATTATTACATATGAAACTTCACATATGTATAAATGTGTGTATGAAAATTTTAGTATTGATCTATCAGGTCACATGGGACTCTGCATTATCCCTTGTAATTTAATTTCACATTATTGAATTGATTGAGCTTTCTAGAGAGTACTGACACCTCTGTGTGTACCTAGAAAACTTCCTTCTACTTTGATTTGGCCTCACAAGAGCACAATCCACAGCATCCCCTTCTGTAGTACAGTTGCTGCAAAGGCAGATGATAAACTCCCTCCTTGAAGAGCTCCCCCAGCTCCTACAGGCCTCCAAACTGCTCACTGTTTCTTTTCTCTCTTCTTGTACTCATCCTGATATGAGATGGTTTGACCCAACATCATCTTTAACCGCTTGGGCTGAGAATTCTGATCATCAATTACCACCTTAAATTATTCAAGGGGATAAAATAACTAGTTCCTTCCCACAATAAGTAAATGTTATAGAGGCAGATGCATTGAGTATCTCTCTGCACCTAGTTGGTTCCTTGTTTTGAACATCCAGTGAATGCTTATTTTATTGGGTTTTTAATTATTTGGGGAAGTAATTTTATAGTTTATCCACTTTTGGAGTTGGTCTTCAGCAAGGAAGTTGTTTCAGTTTTCACATAATTCTTCATTACCACATCACTTAGAGTTTTCACAGCAAGAGCTCTAAATGTATTAATATATTATTTTTAAAAATTTGTTTTAAAAATTATGTTTATTTGCTATTTGCATAGTAGTGTAACCTTCTAAAGAAATTGTTTCAGTGTCTATGCTCAAAATGTGGTGGTGTAAATGCCAAAGTAGCTAGTGTAGAGATGTGAATACCTAGTTAAATTTGATTTTGTCTTGAATTTATTGATATCTTCTAGTTTGTGGCTTTCTCTTTTTGCCCATAATGATGTACAGAAATTACTAAATTTCATGAAATCTGATTTATCAGTTTTTTTCTGATTGTGTTTTTGTTTCTTTCTAGCTTGTGTTTACATAGAAGTATTGCTTTTGCCCTAATTGTGGCTACCCATATATGGGACACAGGTAGCATAATATTGAGAGTGAGCACTTCTACAAACTTCTCATCTCTTGAATCTTTCTCTTCTTCCTAGCTATGAGCTTAGATATACAGATTAACATTCAGGTTCCAGATGCAGAAGGGGTACTGGTGGAGTGTACTTCAGGAAGTTTGATCCCACCTGCTGAGATGACATGGAGAGACAGCAAGGGGAATGTAATTCCACACTCACCAAAATTTGACTCTCAGGATGGATTATTGTACTTGAAGAGCAGTATTCTTCTGAAGAACAGAACACATGGTCCAATTACTTGTTCCATTTACAATGTAACTACTAATCAAGAGAAAAAGAGAAGCATTGTCCTCTCAGGTAAGTTCTTATGACTTAGTTCTATCAAAGATGAATTGTTTTATACAAGGATTCAAATTAAGAAAGAATTGAATGAAATAATAACTGCGAGGTTATGTTACAAGCTATAAACTGCTGTCGAGCTTCCCTATTTGAGTTTCTGGAAATCAGAAAAATATTTAAATGTTATGGGGAATATTTTAAAGAAAGGTATTGGGGCTGGAGAGAAGTCTCAGAGGTTAAGAGCACTTGTTCTCCTTGAGGGCTTGTTTGGGTCCTAGCACCCATACTGGATGGCTCACAATCACCTGTAACTCCAGCTCTATGGGATCCAGTGCCCTTTTCTGGACACCACATTTTCCTTCAGGCATGTGCACATGCACACTCACAGACATCCACTCTCACTCATACATAGAAAATAAATCTTAAAGGAGATACTGAAATAATTTGAAAATGAGCTCCCATTCTGGTTGTATGTTAAGGATTCAAAAGCTATATGACTTCCACATAAATTTCTAGATTTCTATTTCTAGATTTGTGCCCTTGAATATTATTTCTCCTTTAAAATTATTGTTTTGTCTCCTCTGGAAAATAGCATATATAACTTCTGAGATAAAAGGAAGATTAGAATCTTTGTGTATGTGCCTTTGCAGATAATAGGAGTCAAGACAACAGGGGAAATGACATATTATAAATACAAAAATAAAGCACCAGGAAGCATGCAAGAGATGATGGGGGGATGAAAGGCATAGGAACAAGAAGATTACACAGAGAGGACCAGGAAACAGCCTCCAGCCCCATCCCAGATTGTGGAAAGAGAAGTAAAGATAAAGCTTCAACCACTATCAAGTCTTGGCAGCCTTATGACTGTCTGGTGAATATGCCTGTATGTTCTCATGAGTCCAGTTGCAGGGGATTTGATGGGATAGTGACTCCTCTTGCATGACAAGACAGTATTGGTGAAAAAAATCCATTTTTTTGCTCTCTGTCTCAGAACAATGTACATGGACTCTGAGCTAGCAGTTCTCGCCTTCCTATGTTATCCTCCATGGTGTTTGTCTTATCAGTGGCCCAGAAACCAAGGAGCAAGGCAACCTTGGAAGAAACCATCTGAAATTATGAGCCAAAATAAGGCATTTGTCCTTTAAACCTTTTAAAAAACATTTTGTTACAGTGATAAAAGTTTCTAATACAACATGTAAGTAAAGAGGCAGGATTATCAAATGCAACTATCCATGCAAGAGTGTTGTTGATGAAGGAAATGTGTGCCTAAAGGCTGCACTTCATTCTGTTCTTTGTACTATCGATGTCGATGAAGGCTGTTAGGTAATAAAACTGGACTCAGAGGAAGAACAAGATTTGGAAGTTATTAGTCCCATAATAGGACAGAATTGGATGAAAGAAGGATCATGATATTTTACCTTGTTAGCAAGGGAAGCAAGATGGATAAGCAGTTAGAAAACCTTTGGACAGCTGCCTTTAATCCCAGCACTTGGGAGGCAGAGGCAGGCCGATCTCTGTGAGTTTGAGGCCAGCTTGATCTACAAAGTGAGTTCCAGGAAAGGCTCCAAAGCTACACAGAGAAACCCTGTCTCAAAAAAAAAAGAAAAAAAGAAAACCTTTGGACATTAATTCAGTTCTTGAGACTCATATGGTCAAAGGAAGAAGAACCTGATACTAAAACTGGGGTCAAACTCTGTGCCAAGGAACCACTAAAAACATCAAAGTTAATAGAGAAAAACATTGGGAAAAGAGGCAAAGAGACCCAGTGATTCCTCAAGTCAATCTTCGGGAACCTAAAGTGAGATTACAGTTTTAGTTGATAGCCAAAGATATGTTCATTCGGTTTTGGTGAGTCTCTTTGTGTGAGGGTTCCTGGTGTGCAATTTGCAACCTTCAAAACAAATAGCATGTAGAGTGGCCCATGTACAGTTTTTGGAATTTAATATGAGCTACTAGGTACAAAATTTCTAGTTGTGCAATTTCTTCCATGCTAATAAGAACCCTGCAAGTAAGAGCAGACCCTTCTGGCTAAAACTAAGGCCCAGGTAAAAGCTAAGATGTCCTGGTCAAGGTGTTGTAGCCCACTACCACAACTGACCCATCATTGTTTGGGTTTCAGTTTTATCCTACAAGGGAGTCTGACAAGTTGCTAGATCTGTGTGAAATATCTACGTAGGGGAGTCAAGTTTCCTCTTGTACTAGAAACTTTTCCTTCTCCCTGAATGAAATTCCAGAAGAAATTCTCATTTCTTTGGGGGTACATTGTTTCAATAGTCTGTTAGAATGAGAGTCACAAATGTCTCCAAAAAGTAAGAATATTTGGGAGAAAAATTTGATTAATTGTCTTACCCACCTGTGCATCCTGTGAATTGCAATAGAAACCAGCAGGACAGGTAAAATAGTAGCATGAATGTTATGGGTAACCAACCACTTTCTAATTTGATTTAAAGTTTGCTCCACAGGAAGAAATATGTACCTGGTACCTGTAAGTCATAAGGGCCCCAGAATTGAAACTACTATTATTTTTCTGAATGGACACAGTATCAAACTGCCTTTTGAATTGGAATCTCTCTGCCCACAGATTAGTGTAGCTTTAAGATCATTTCAGGGAAGTTTTTTTTTGCATTGGATATTGGTTAACACAGAAACTCACAATTGGTCAAAATATAAAGAATAGGTGTTTGTGGAGTGCTCAACCACAAATGGTACATCCAAGTCAAATAGTGTTACCCACATATTTGGGGATTGGTAGACATAAACAGAGCACTGGAATCTGAACTAGACAGGGAGAATATAGTGAATCTAGCACTCTTCATGCTGGTCCTGGTACTCTCAGGCCCTGCTCAAGTAACCCACATTGCAGAGAAGAGACTGAAGAAATCAAACAATCTACCACACCTGATCTCCGGGATTTCTCACTCTCCTTTCCAGCGACAAAACACATGTGGCAGAAAGATAGGTCCAGATGCTGAGAAATCAACAGTCCTCAGTTCCTATTTTTGAATGGATCTCTGACCATCATGATGCTCAATTCAGAATTTCCTTCTGCCTTGGTGTTTCCATATTTGACCTTCCTTCTCTTCACAGCTGCTTCAGTGGCCTTCTTTCCAGGCACTGTGGCAAGGGTCCCCAGACTCCTTGAGTATTTAATCTTCCTTCTCTTTAGGTACCTAGATTATCTCGGTTTCAAATAATAACCAACTCACAAGATGGCCAAGAAAGAGAAGTTGGAGGTAGGACAGGGGCCAGATATATTTATTCTTCAAAACCATGTCCCTTACTACCTACTTTATCTGCTCAGCCCCATTGACTAATATTTTTGTTTTTTTCAAAAAATCCCATCAAATTATGAGTCCATCGGTGGATTAATCCACTGACAAGGTAAGAGCCCTCATGATCCAGACAATTCTCAGTGATTGGATTTGCCAACTATGGACTAAGCCTGTAATGTGAATCTCTTAGTTGGAAATGTATATCCAGTTCCTAACACCAAGTCCTTCTATTCTCTTTCAGATGTCCTCTTCAAACCAGAGTATATGTCATTGATGTCAAACAGACCTCCATGTCCTGTAATATATTTAAGCATTATATTTGTTCTTCATTGTCTCAGAGGAATACTTGTTTTTTGTTATCTCGGATGGAGAAAAAAAAAAGGAAATGGTAAAGAGTTCTGAAACCATTTCTTTTTGAACCCCAATACTCAGATGTGATGCATACAAAATTATTTACCCCAGAACTTTAGTGCATCCCAATACTCTTTGTCAAAGGAGGTTTCAAAAGTCTTCAGAGATCCTCAGGTTAAGCTTACCCTTCCTCCTTGTGTGGTTCTTCATGGCTAGCACGAAGCTATCATCACAATTCCTCTCAAGGTCTCGGGATTCCTTCAGAGGCATCATTAGTGATTTCCTTTCACTTTTGGTGTTTGTGGAATTTGAATCATAATAGACCTTTTCTCTTCCACAAGTACTTGTCAGCTTTTAGAGATATTGCTGAAAACTGTCAGGCACCAGATTGGAGAAAGAGATGAGTGACTGGAGCTCAGGCCTGGATAGCCCTGCTGTCTAGGCCCTAGGACCTAGGGCACATCCCTGACACGCCTCCACCCATCACACCCACAGCAGCCTGTCAGCAGCATTCTCCCCTTCCAATCACCCTCACACCCCACACTCCTGGGGATCAGTAAACCTTGGAGGCACTGGCTCCACCTGCATCAATTGGAGGAAGAGCCACTGAGGGACACAGGCTCCACCTGCATATCCTACAACCTTTAGGCACTTAAGCATTTAGACAAGGCTGTAGTTAACAGGGTTCCACAGCATCCAAGACATATTTTCAGGCTGCACAGTCACAAGAAAAGTGAGAAGATATTTATTATTTGATTTTGTTTTTAAGCCTGTTCTGTCTTCATCCTAAATGACCATAAATCTTAGCTTCACCCAATCCTAAATTCTATCTTCACTAAAAATTCCCAACTGTAATCCTAACCCTAGTCCTAAAAATCTTGCTTATGAAGCTTTAGCCCTGACATAGGTTAAATGAACAAATGGATACAGCTCTGAGACCTTCAAGACACTACCTATATTCAGTATTTCTCTTGCTATTCCAATGCATTCTCAAAGTCCTAGCCTCCTAAATCTTCTTACTGACTCTTTTCCAGGTCCGAATAAAATGAAGCTTTGCTATGAGTTTATGTGGGAGTGTCTACCATTAGTTTTGTATATTGGCTTCCTCCCTCTCTATTTGAATTTCAGGAGCAGAGGTGAGTGCAACTAGACTGGGATCTGTCATTTCACCTTGCCTTTGTCCAGTGCCTTCTCATCTTGGAACTATGTAGACAAAGCTGAGTAATCTTTGTTGCAGAAGTAGCAGGCAGAGTTTCAGTGACATCTCAGTGGCTTCACATGCTGTCCTTGGAAATATGATTTGCTCAAATTTTAGACTTCTATCATGGCTGCTTATATTTTCATACACATAGTTACTGCTGCTTGTTTAGCAATGAAAAGATTTATTTCTCCAGGTCTGGCTTCCATTCAGTCCCACATGCATAGGCATTCTTTTACAAAGCACATTTTTAATGCTACCTATCATTTACACTCAGCCAACAATTCATAAATAGTTAAAAAACACTTTTGGTTTAGAGATCCCCTCTGATAATTAATGGGAAAAAAGTACAATTTTTTTTTGTTTCATGTTCGTTTTCTGAGACTGCTGAAAGCTAATGTTGGATCCTATTCAGTGTGTATTTGCAAGGTATTTGAAAGTATGGACATACTGCAACATACACTGTATATAGGATAATATCTGAGAATTTAGAAAAACTTTTCATTTCATTGTGGATATTGGGAGGAAGTACTTTATTTAAAAAAACATTAAAGTAAGCTGAAAGTTCTAATTACTATAGGGGATTTACACTCATCCATAAGAAAAAATTAAATCAGACATCAGATATAGATATACCTCTTCTGATTTAACATATATTTCAGAATGTCTGTCAATAAAACTCATTCCATCTATTTTACTACAAATCATAAAAACAAGCCTCAACTCCTAAACAAATGAACCCAAAGGAAATTTCTCAGAGTCAATGGAAAAATAGCAAAAGTGTATAAAGATATGGAAGGTATAATTAACTTCCAGCACTATGGTCTTATGTGATATTTTGTTTGAGTTCTGACAAATAAAGCTTGCTTGGAGTCAGAGGGTGGAGTTAGCCACTAGTTAACTATAGAGGTTTGGAGGACTGTAGAGAGAGGTACAGGAAGTGGTAAGGCAGGGCTGAGACTGGATCTCGGCCCTTTAGGTCAGAGGAACAGAAGAGGTAGGAAGTCATTGATGGCTGCTCCCCTGCTTCTCTGATCTGTCAGGTTTTTACCCTATTATATGACGCCTGGTTTTTAATTGATAAGATAATTAGATTTACCTATCACTATGAAATACACTAAATGTCCTAAACCAGTATTTCTGATTAAAATACATCTTCCCATCCATCTAACACTTACACAGCTATGAAATTTTAAAGTTATTTTGGCCACCAAGAAAGTAAGAACAATATTTTGCATAATAGAAAATATAAATATATATGAATCTATTCTCCCTATCTCCCCCCATCCATTTACTTTTATGTTTTTGTTGGGATCCTGATACCCTGATTTTAAAGTCCACATCAGGATTAAATGGACTAATTTTAATTCTTAGAACCCTCATAAAGGAGGAGTATAATAGAGATATCCACATTCATCTGAGGAGCCCAAAGTAGTGAACACTGAAATAGTCTGTAAAAAATTTGGCCAGGCGGTAGTGGTGCACGCCTTTAATCCCAGCACTTGGGAGGCAGAGGCAGGTGGATCTCTGTGAGTTTGAGGCCAGCCTGGTATCCAAAGCAAGTTCCAGGAAAGGCGCAAAGCTACACAGAGAAACCCTGTCTCGAAAAACAAAACAAAACAAATTTACCAAGTAAAACAGTATGTCTCATGGAATACTATGAAGAGTAGAATTCAGGGACTGGAGAGATGGCTCATTGGTTAAGAGCACTTGCTTCTCTTGAAGAGGATCTGGATTCTACTTCAGCATCTATATGGCAGACCAAAACTCACTATAATTATAATTTTAGGAGTTCTGAAGACCTCTTCTCGCCTCTAGAATTTATACACATAAAATAAAAAATAGGAAAATTTTTGCAAAAATGGATCGAATTTAGAAATTACTTTACCTTAGCAAGATTGCAACTATTAATTTGTATAAATTCCATGCAAAACTTGAAGACAAAGGCAATTGATGGGCTCTCCCCTGGCATACTGAGGGGTAGTTGTCAAAGTTATCAAAATTATCAGTGATGGTCTGGACTTCCTTTATATATATATTAAGCATATGAAATATATCTTTTGTATTTAAAAATAGAAGACTGAACTTAAAAGGTGAGCAGACAATGAAAAACTATAATAAAATACGATAATATTTCAAAAGACCAAGTAGAACATCTATATAGATTCAATCATAGTAATTGAAATTTCAGCAATAACCCAGTAGAAATATTAAACAGGAGACTAAACATAATGAAAAAGAACTGGACTTCAGATATCAAGTAAGATGCAGTGTGTACATAACTATCACGTGTGGCATGGGCCCAGATTATGCATCACTTGGTCTTCATCAGAGACTCTCCTATTAATAGTAGATGACAATCAATACAGAGCTCAAGGTGCAGAGCATAAAAGACATCTGGATGGTCATTCCTACGCTGGTTATTTATATCCTGCCTTCCTCCAAAGGCTCATGGATCACTGCAGAAGATAAGAAAAAAGGTGGTGGATGACTACAAGGAAACAGTGTTTTCCATATGCAGCAGGGCAATTACACATATGACCTCATAGCAATTGAGATGACACACACAAGACCTGTGCAGACTCGGGCCAGACAACTCCAGCATGTATAGGCAGGTTGTGCATGAAGTCACACCCCTAGTTATAGAGGTATTGGTAGCTGATAACTTCTGGGAGAGGGAGAGTCAATTTTCTTTAAGACTGTGGCTTCTGGTATGCTGACTGCCCTCCAGTGAAGGACACACATCCAGTATTACAAAGGCAGCACAAACTGTACTTGTGGTGTGTGTGTGTGTGTGTGTGTGTGTGCATTCACATGTGCACATACATCTCTCTGTGAGAATACTTTTGTTTTTCATAGTAAATATCTGTTGGACACCATTAATGTCCTCTGTTAGAATGTTCCTTATGGCCTGAAATATTATTATTGCATCAAATGTTTCCTTTTCTCTTTTGTTTAATTCTTCTTTTATATTTTTGGATGAGTACTGATCTCAGCTTTCTAATCTAATTTCTACTTCTTACTGTATTTTCCACCTTCTCTTGTTAAGAATTTCTAACACAAACTCAAATGTAGTAATTACAATTATAATAACCTATCCTTTGCATTCTTAATTTCATGTACCTCATTTCAATATACCTATCCATTTATTACTTACATGGATTGACTTTGAGTTCTCACATGTTACGATCATATTCTTGGTATGTTGCATGCTAGAATCTGCTGTTCTACTGAGCTGCAATGTCAGACAATGTTGGCTTAACCAACTGCTCATTAGACCAATGTATTTCCTTTGTGCTTTTCCTGCAACATCTTGCTTTGGCAACTCTGAACCCAAAGAATAAAAATAAACAAGAGGATGTTCTCAACTATCTGTGGATAAATGAGTAAGAATAACAACATCTTACAATTTATATGCATGGCTCAAACTAAACTACACAAAACCTTTGACACCCTTAAAACTGTAAAGTTATGTCATAAAACCTTGGATTGGTGGCCTAACATTTGTCCCCCAAATGAAGTCTACTCAAAGCCTCCCTTTCTTCTTTCTTGTTGACTAAGAACCTGTGATCTGGCTTCTTAATTTATACATATTTACCTGTCTCTGTTTTACTTATTTTAAACTGGGCTTAATATTTCTTTCTCTTTTTTTTCAGCTTCTATTTTGGACAATGCATACCCACTGTACAGTAATTGGCTGTGGGATGTATGCATAATCTTGGCTGTGATGATGGTATTTTTCACTGGACTCATTTTGCTTCTACTTGGGACCCTAAACCATAAGTAAGTGAAGCAGTGGGAGTGGGAACTCCAAGGATGAGTCTCCTGTCTCTCTACATGCATCCTCATAAATCTAATCTTCGCTTGGTAAAACTAGAGGAAAATAGAGGCTTAGGTTATTGCTATCTTTCTTTACTTCCATAAGCAGATTGGGGGGGTATTTTAGAATTCACATAGGCCTTGCTAACTGTTCATTAGATTAGCATGTAGGCTTGCCTGTGGGAGACCATCTTTATTAGGTTAGTTGAGATGGGAAGATTGAGACCTTAACTGAGGGCTTCCTTTTAGCATTTACTGTTTCTCCTTTGATACTTTCTGTGATATTAACCTCAACTATGAGGAGCTCTGTCAGCCATCTCCACCACAGTGCCATGTTACCATGTTGAGCTTTGCCACCTGATAAAGTCTAATTTCTCACTTTTAATGCTGGATTTTCACTGAAAGCTGTTTTAAGGAAGCATCTTCTATAACTTACCAAGACTAAATTAATCCCACAGATTTTTCATTTATCCACCTACTATATCTAACTCTCTTTGAACTCTTACAAAGACATTCAGTAAAGCAGAGTTAGAAAAGGTCTCCAGGAGTGCCAAGAAAGAAAATAGACATCCAAAGTGATTTAAGCCTATTAAAATAGAAAGAATCTTGCTTTTCTTCTTTGGGTTCTTAGTTTCATCAATAAAGTAATTTAAACACAGACAAGAAGGAAAACTGTGGTGCAATTTTATTAATTTAAGAGAAAAACAACAGGACCAGTTCAGTTTATGTATTTGCTATTACTAGGAGTCTAAGCTGGGCTCTTCCTTGCAGATTCCTGGGACATTCTCTTGTGCCAGGTTTTTGCCTGACCACAAAACGTGTCCGTTTTCAGTGGTCTCTTTCATTATTCTCATTTGTCCCCCCCATAACTTTATATTTCATGTTTATATCCCCACTCTGCGGTGATATTTTATTTGTGCTGAAATGTGATTTTATTGGTATGTTAATAAAGTTGCCTGGGGATCAGAGCTAAGAGCAAGCCATTAAGCAGAAGTCTGGTAGTGGTAGCACATGCCCTTAATCTGATCACATGGTAGGCAAAGTCTCTGTGTGTTCAAGGACACAGCCAGCATGGTAACACATGTCTTTAATCCCAGTACCAACCATAGAGACCTGGACGTCTGTATAGACAGACAGTGACGAAGAAGTCGTGTGGTTGGGTTTAGAACCAATGTGAAGGCAGAACAGAAAGGCAATAAAAAGACAGGACACAGGAAGAAGCTCTCTCTCTCAGGGGAAGGACAGCAGCAAGTGGTAAGACAAGGTGGTCTTAGCTCTTGGCTACTGCACAATCTCTGGGCTTTTAACTCTTTATTTGGCTCTGTGTTTCTTATTTATTAAGACCATTTATAATTACATCTATGTTTGGCACCCAACATGGGGCAAGAATTCATTAAAAACCTTGGTGGTTATGGGCACAGCTCAGTCCAGCTCAGCCCAGCTTGGCTCCAACTCAGCCAGAGTTTACAGGCCCTAGGCCCAGCCAGGGCTACTGGTCTGGCTGCATGAGTTAGAGATGCACTCAACCGTAGCTGCTTGTGGCTGAATCACTAACTCACACGGTCAGAACTTAAGGTAGCTGGAGCTTAGGCCAAATTGGCTCAAGTGGGAGCACATGGCTGGATTTCAGCTTTTAGCCAGAATGTGTGGCTACTCTCTCTCTCTCTCTCGTCTCTCTGAGCAACCACACTAGGTAGCTGTTTTGAAATTCCCTCAGATTTCTACTGTTTTATGCAGACTTGGTAAGTCAATTAAGATATCAGATATTTTAAAGGGAAAAAATACTTAAAAGAAAACAAAATTTTTTCCACATTAAAAAATGGTTATTATATGTACAATAGAAGGTAATTAGTCTTTGTTTGATAAAAACTTTAGGCAGTCTGAAAATGGAATAATAATATGAGAAGATTAATGTTGATGGGATGTACATTTATACCAATTATGCATATTATTACTTTATTTATCCTTATTTTACAATTTAAAAAGATAGTCAATTTAAGGGCTAGGATAAAAGATTTAGAAAAAAGCTGTCAAAATAAATTATAGAGAAATTCAGATTCAGACAGAAGAATTTAAGGGTGAAATTATTTCAGGATTGGATTATAAGGTTACAGAAAGGAAAGCCTATTTTCAAACAATCAAACTTAATTTATCTGGTAACCATACAGCAGCTACCTGGTCAAGTGAATGTACAAAATAATTGGTTTAAGGAGGCAATAGTATCTTATGGCATGCATTCCCCATTTGTAAAGCAAATGTTAAACTCCTGGGTCAACTTGTAATAGGATTATTCCTCAGGACTGGAAAGAGCTGGTAAATGCTGTCCTGGAACCCAGAGCACAGCTGCACTGGGTGAATGTGGTTCAGAGATAAGGCTAAAACCATAGATAGTCAGTGGAGGGCTAGAGATGTGGAAATCTCCCAGGATGAGCTTCTTGGAGAAGGCCAATATGCTGAAATACAAAGACAACGTTTATATGATAACCTAACCCTAATTCTATGTTGAATGGCAGCTTTGAATGCAGGGGACAGAATTGAGGAAGCAGGAAAGACAACTGAGTCATTCACAAATGTTACAAAGGGCCCAAAAGAATCCTTCACAGATTTCTTACAAAGACTGTCTTCAGCAGTAAATAGAATGGTCCTGAATTCAGAAGCTAGCCAGATAATAATCGAATCTTTGGCTTTTGAGAACGTGAATGCAACATGCAAGAGAATAATCAGGCCATTAAAGGCAAGATCTGCACCCTTGGAAGATTGGATTAGAGACATGATAAATGTTGAATCTCATGGCCATGATGATATTCCAGGTTTTCCATGATTGGTATTAAGATTAAAGGCATGTGTATCCAATAATGGCTGTATCCCTGAACACACAGAGACTTACCCAGTTCTGCCTACCAAGTGCTGGAATTACAAGCATATGCCACCACTGCCCTGCTTTCCTATGGCTTGCTAATAGCTCTGACCCCCGGGCAACTTTATTTATTAACATACAAATAACATTTTAATACAAATAAAGTATCACCATATTTGTACACCACACCATTGATACCTACACAGGATTTCAATGGGCGACTGCTCTGAGTTCTAAGAAGGCTGATTCTATAATCACACATTTGCTAGAAGTTATGGCCATCACTAAATACACCTGTACAAAATAAAATTGACAATGCTCCAGCATATATCTCTGATAAAATGAAACAGTTTTTTTTTGATTATTACAATATAAAGCATATTACAGGTATACCACACAACTATACAGGCCAAGCAGTTATAGAAAGATCAAATTGAACTCTGAAGGATATGCTAAATAAACAGAGAGGGGTAGCAACAATTCTCAGAAATAGATTACATAATGCTCTATTAACTTTGAATTTTCTCTGTGCTAATGAGAAAGGAACAACAGCTATGGAAAGACACTAGATAATATAAAACACTACAGAATTAAATCACCTTCTATACTTTAAAGATGTGCTGACCTCAGAATAGAAATCGGGATCTGTATTATGTTAAGGACAGGGTTTTGCTTTTTTTCAACAGGAGAAGAAAAGCTATAGATGCCATCAAAATTGATAAGGATTCAATTTGAACAAGAGAGGCCTCTTAATTACAAGAGGTGATGGTTCATTGATCAGTATGACCATTCAACTTAAAGTAACTTATACCACTAACAAATGCTTTTCATTTAATCAGCTATAACTTGCCAAATGGAAACCTCCCCAAAGTTGGGATTGGGGGGATTGTATTTGTCTTTCAGGAGAATGAATCTAAGGAATCTGAAGAAGACTGGACAAATGAGACATATGAAGAAAAAGGACAAATCATCCAGGAAAAAAATGTCCCAAGAAAATGAGTAAATTGGCTTATTGGTATATCACTTATCTAACAGGAATAAATTTCATAATTCTTCCTAAATGTTTGTTTCTGATGTTTTCTGTAGACACATGATGCAAATGGTTTTTATGTAGTTCCAGTTCAATTAAAAAATAAAGCTGACTTTGGAGTTGGAGTTTGGCTCTCTTCTTCTGTAAACCCAAGCATACTTATTAAAAAGTAAATGTAAAATCTCTGTATCATGTCAGAAGAGCCACCTGATATGGGACAGAAGAAAAACCAAAATTAAGGGACTATTCTATTGCCACTAATCTCATAATTCTTTGGTTCTATTTTGACTCTTTAAAACTTTTTTAAGGTATCAATTTTATATCAAAAATTTTAATATATATATATATATTAAACTTTTGTCATGATATTAATGGTCATAGAGAGTACTCACTAATCCTAGATAAAAGGCTTCATCTAGCTTCCTGTACATGATTTTGAGTTTGAGTTCTTTTCAGTTTTCTGCAAGGAACCATGACTGTGCCTAACAGCAACTTTGAAGTCTCCAAAAAGATAATGGGGCCCCACAATGACAATTCTATTACGACAATGATAATATCACTAAGCTGACAAACACCACCTAAAGATAGGCTTTTGATTACAAACTGCTCAGGACAATTATGAGGTAGCTAGATGGGATGATCCAGCCTCACAGATAACTCAAGCAAGGGCTTGAGACAAGCCCTGCATTTTCACATTATGCAGTGACTGGACAGCAAATGATACAGTTACCTCTTCCAGGACTTGACAATTAAACCCAATTTTTTTTGTTTTCAGGATCTCCTACAGATGTCTTTGCCCCCAATCAGCAGGAAATAATTTTATGATCACAACGGCCACATTCCCAAGAGGTGGGGTGGATGGGTTTTTGGTCATTTAATGGGTTATGGATAACTGTCATTGTTTAAGATGGTTGATTATAAGTTGTTAATTGATAAAGGTCAGGACAAAAGCTAAACAAAAGAAATTAGATTGGGGATTCTTGTTTGGAAAAAAAGAGGATATAGATAAGAGGTAGATTTTTTTTTGTTTTTTGTTTTTTGAAGCAGGGCTTTTTCTGTGTAGCTTTGTGCCCTTCCTGGAACTCACTCTGTAGCCCAGGCCGGCCTTGAACTCACAGAGATCTGCCTGCCTCTGCCTCCCAAGTGCTAGGATTAAAGGCATGTGCCACCAACACTCAGCAAGATGTAGATTATTAAATCTACTCTGAAAAAAGATATATAAATGATAGGATAAAGGGTAGATTATTGAATCTACTCTGGAAAAAAAAGAGAGGATATAGATATGATAAGATAAAAAGGTAGATTATTGAATCTACTTTTAAAAGCAACTACTAGTTTTAAATATTTTGCATTGGATTGGATTTTTGTGTATTGTATACAAATATGTATATTGATACAAGTTGAGATTGATTTTGTTAGAAAATATTGTACATATATTTCTAATCTTGTTCAAAGTATTTTACCTCTACAGTTCATTTAACAATGTAATGCAAATTGCTAGTCCTTGAAAGTTATTATTACCAACTAATTACGATAAATGCAAGTTAATAGTCAGTACAATCAAACTTGCAGTCATATTAGGTATGTTTTCAAGGTCAAAAAGATATATTTTAGATAGACAGGTCATCCCCAAACATTTCAGAGATCTGCAGATTATGGTATTTAAGATGTTTTAATAATATAGATATTTTCTTTTTCTATGACAATGAGACATGTCTGCTGCTAGCAGCACCAACCTACTTCAAAGAAAATGATGGGTGTGAAGAAATTTCATATGGAATTTACCTTTTTGTAGCAAATTAGCCACTGGGCAAGAAGATGCCCTTGCCTTGACTGCTGGTAGTATGCTGTCCAAAATTGACAAACAGGATACAAAAGAAAGGACTGCCGATCCTTGCCACAACAAAGTAGGAAGGTTCTTTAGAAAATCTTGCTTCACAGATGAGTCTGTCAGATATGTTATGCCTGTAGGCTGAGAATGGATACCCCAACATTGCAGAAGAATCTTGGGTGACTGTCCAGGCAGCCAGCTGTTTCTGTCATTTCTCATTTTTTTGGAAGTCTCTTGTTTGTACTTGTAGTTTACTCAGTTAATAGTATTTCCTTCTTGGGTCTCTGAGGGAGTTGAAGATTAGATAGTTATAGTTTTCCATGTTAGCAAATTCAGAAAGGAAACTTGCTAAAACGGAGTAAAGTGTTTAAGTTTGAAAGACATCAAAAGATAATTTTCAGTTGGTAATGCAAATTAGGATAGAAGGTGAATTAGATACAATCTTTTGAATTCACAAAGATAGGATAGATAATGGAGTATTTTCTCTGAATTTATCAAAAGCAAATGAACTAGACATTGTTGATGTATTTATTGCCTGTATGTATTGTATATAGTTATTGTACTTATTGTATATAGTTTTTCTTATATTAGTTATAACCTCTTTTTAGACAAAAAAGGGGGAAATGTGGTGATATTTTATTTGTACTCTAACAAATAAAGCTTGCCTGGGGATCAGAGGACAAAGCCAGCCACCGTTTTAAACATAGAGGTCAGGCAGTGGTAGCACACACCTTTAATCCTAGCACTGGGGAGGCAGAGATTCATGTGGATCTCTGTGAGTTCAAGGCTATACTGGGACCAGAACCAGGTCTGGTGGCACACATTCTTTAATCCCAGTGCTAGTTAAACATAGAAGTCTAGAGGTCTGTACAGACAGACAAAAAGTGATAAAGCTGGGCAGAAAGAGAAAGTGATATAGCTGTGTGGAGAGAGGAAGTAAGATGGCAGGGCACAGAAAGGTATATAAGGTGTGAGTGTACAGGAAGTAGCTCTCTTCCTAGGGGTAAGAACTTGTGGTTGGTTTGTTCTATTCCTCTGATCTTTCAGCTTTCACCCCAATGTCTGGCCTGGTGTTTTTATTAACAAAACCTTTTAGCAATTCATGTTACAGACAATTATTTTATCTTACCCTTCATGGGCTCTCTTCACATTAGCTCCTATGTGCTTCTAATTAACATCTATGGATGCTTGTGTAGGAAACCAAGGATTGAATTTTACAAAGTTGTAGAACTGTTGTTTTGATTATTTTGTTCCTCTGGGTCTTAACAAAGATTTCAATAATTGGATCAAATGCTTTGTGTCAAAGGACTGAGAAAAACAATGTTTATTTGACTCTCTGAGTTGTGGTTGTGACCCCTTTGGTGAGAGGACCAAACTCCCCCTCCATGTTTCTTTTTTTTTTTTTTTTTCGAGACAGGGTTTCTCTGTGTAGCTTTGCGCCTTTCCTGGAACTCACTTGGTAGCCCAGGCTGGCCTCGAACTCACAGAGATCCGCCTGGCTCTGCCTCCCGAGTGCTGGGATTAAAGGCATGCACCACCACCGCCCGGCCCCCTCCATGTTTCTATTTAAGGCTTTTCTTATAGTTACTAAGACACAAGAAGTGGAAAGTTCACCTTCTAGACATCTGAGTATCAGTCACATGAAGCAAATTTTCTAAGTTTCCACCATTCCCATCATATTTACCTTACAGTCTGAAGTAAATAAATGAAACAAGCTTGATGATGAACCCTATCAGCATACACAGGATCACACTAATATCTTCTAACCACAAAGTGTCCAATTCAAAACGAGGATCTGAAACTGTGACTGGAAAAAAAAGAAAGAGTCAGGACAGTTGCAGCTGAGAGCAAGGCTAGATTACACATGAAAGATAGCTTTGCTTTTCAGGTTCCTGTTGCTCCTTGCCTCCCACATGTACAACAACAATCTAGAAGAAATTTGGCCTACTTGATTTTGGAGATGAGCATGTCTGTGTCAAGTCTAGGAGAGGTTAAGAGGAGACAGGTACCCATTTCCCTCAAGTAGCCTGGCTCTTGCTCTTACTAGTCTGTCTGAAGATCACATGGATAGATCATGTTTTTATGTTTTATTTAGTGCAGAGGCTCTTCAAGAGTTCTGGACCATACAGAGTATAATAAAACAGAAAATGCTTAGATGATCAGTATCTGTGAAATGGAAGAGATCTTACAATGGTCAAACATTATATTCCCTTGGAAGCATGTTCTCTCTATCCTCATCTTTCTGTGTTCATATCCTAGCTGCTATACATCTTCCCTGATAATGTCTATACTATTTCCTCCCTCACCAGACTATCTGCTCAAGACCCACACACTCATTGACAGTCTAGATCCTTGTGAAGAGGGAAGTTTGGTTCCTCCCCATCCACCCGCACATGTACCCTCCAGTGTAGGACACAGAGATTCATTCAATGCATCCTTCTAAAAAACTTCAAGTGAGAATAGTTTCCTTGTCCCTCCCCAAGTTTCTGGCTAGTCCTAAAAGGAAATCAAAAGAGACAGATTCATAGGAGAAAAGGATAACAGATTTATTTCACCTAATTTCTATATGAAAGAGCAGCCTTTAGAATGAAGATCCATGACTCAGAATGAATATTCATTTTTATGATTCTGTTTGATGAAGCATGGGCAGATCTGTGGAAATATGATTGGACAGAAGTACAGAGCCAACAGGGTGTGCCAGTTTGGGTTCTTTAGAACGTCTCTTTTTTCCTCCTAGATGTAGAATGGATATTTTCCCAGATGAAGTTCTTATGGCCTACTGCTAAAGACAGGAAGGAGAATCTTTGCCTGGCAAGCTTTTTAAAAAAAGATATGGAAGTTAGAACAGAGTTTAAATGTTTGGGAAGAAACGACCTAAGTTCCTGATCCAATTTGGAAAAGAGGAATTCTAGTTTTAGGGCCATCTTAGAAAGAAATTCAAGAAGGAAGGAGGCCTGAGGCAAGGTGTAAAGGGCTCCCACTAATGCCATTTGGAGTCTTTTTCAGTTATAAATGCACACTGTGTTGAGGTGCCAACCTTTGTGTTACTATGCTCAGAATCTCAGCAAGACCCGCTGGGCACCAGCTACAGCTTTAGTCAGTCTTGGAGCCATCAGTAAACCTTAGAGATGGAATCCTCTGGTGTAACTCTCCCCAAAAAGCTTACAGTTTGATAGAGTTGGTAAAAAGACAATAAAATGACAAGTATTGGCAAGTGTGTAAATAAATGAGCATTCTTGTCCACTGTTGTGGGAATGTCAAATTTTCAGAGCATGGCATGTTATATCCTCAAGAAAAAACAGAATTATCATGTGGTCCAGAAACTCTATTTTTGTACATATGCCCAGAAGAATGGAAAACATGCTCTAGAAGAGATGTCTGTATGCCCATGTTTACAGAAGTATCAAGGTAAAAAATGAACAGATGTGCAATCTACACTTTTATTCTTTAAGTCTGGTATAAACCATTGGGGTCTACAATTCTACAAACAGAAGTCAAAATAACATGTAAAGGAAGAGAAGCTTTGTTCCAGCTATATTGTTGAAGAAGAAATAAAGTATTATAGATTTTGTTCGATTGTCAATTTGTTTATAAAGTCCATGACTTGAGATTTCATGTTTATAGCAGGGTCTTTTGTAAAACAAAAAGTTATTTTTTTTATTATGGCAAAGGCACTGGATCTTAAATTTATTAAATTGATAATTTTCTACTTTATAATTTTGTAAAATTAAATATATTTATATTGTACAATTTTTATTATCATTTATCTCTGTAAATGCTTTTATTAAGATTTAAATTGGAATTCTATATCCATCAAACAATAATTCCATCTCTTCTCCTATCTCTAGCTCTTGTAAACCTCCACTCTACTTTTTATATATAAGATCTGGACTACTTTAAGGGCCTCATAATAGTGGAATCATACAGTGTCTTTTTATGACCAGATTATTAGAATGTATATAAGGCCCTAAAACTCATTTATACAGATAACATATTGCCCAATTTGCAATTTACTCTCAATTGTTTTAAGGCTATAAATGAATGAAAAACTCTTCTAAGAGTTCAATCCAGCCTTGTGATTCTGCATTATGATTTGGGGCTATAACTCTGGCTTACTATACTGTAGCAGTTCTCAACCTGTGGGTTGCAACCATTGGACAACACATATTTCCAATGAAACCCTCACAAAACACCCAATTTTTGTTGCTGCTTTGACATAGAAATGATGAGAAAAAGGTAGATTGTTGAATCTACTTTAATCCAAAAAACAACTGTTAATCTCATATTTTACATTGGTATGAATTTTAGTTTATTGACACAAATTTAAAGTCAATTTTGTTATACTTCATGTATATTTCTACTCTTGTTGAAGGTGTTATGCTTATGCAACTCATTTAAAATTATATCATTAAGAAACACAGATTAATAGTCATCTATGATAATCAAACTTATAGCCATGTTAGTTAATTTTTCTAGCTATACAAAGATATATTTCAATTATGGCATTTAAAATAGAACTTAAACTTTTTTGGAAAGTGAGACATGTCTACTCCTAGTACCACCAATTACTTCAAGAGGATGTTGGGCATTGAAGAAACTTGTTATGGAGTTTGCTCACAATGTAGAGAAGGCTAGCCATTTGGGCAAGAAACTGCTCTTTCCTGGACTGCTTGACAATATGTTGTATAAACTGGACATGCAGGACCCAAAGGAAGATGACCACTGAATTTTGTTAAAATGAGGAGAGATGGTCCTTCAGGTTCTTGCTTCACAAAAGAAGCTGCCAGACATTCTGCAGTACACAAAGCAAAACAACTGACAAACTTTGACATTAAGCAGAATAATCCTTCAAATTTCCTGCTTCACTGGAAAGTATGCCTGAGACTCTAGGCCTGTAGGCAGAAGATAGATGACCCGACATTGCAGAGGAACTTTGGGTAACTGTCCAGGCAGCCAAATGTATCTGTCATTTCTAGAATTTTGGAAGTTTCTCACTATGCACTTTCTGTTTACTCAGATAATATTATATCCTTCTGGAGTCTTTGATGGAGTTGAAGACTAGATAGTTATAATTATGGTTTTCCTTAGTTATGATGAAAGGTAAATTAGATATAAAATTTAGACTCACAAAAATAGGATAGATATTTTCTTTAATTTTGCCAAATATAAATCAACTAGATATTGTAACTATAATTCTTGCTTGATGACTGTTTTGTTATATGTAATTTTACTATGTTAAAATAAAAATCCTCCTTTTTGATTAGACAGCAAATAGGAAGTGCTATGTGATGGCCTTTCTGTATGCTGTGAATATGTGTTGCTACCATTGGTTAATAAAGAAGCTGATATGGCCTATGGCAAGGCAGAATAGAGCCAGGGAGGGAATCCAAGCAGAGGGACAAGGAGAAGAAAGGCAGAGTCAGAAGAGACAGGATCCAGCTGCCCAAGGAGCAACAACATGCCAGCAGACCAATAATTCCACGGCCATATGGCAATATATAGATTAATAGAAATGGGTTAATTTAATAAGTAATACCTAGCTAACAATAAGCCTGAGCCATGCACTAAGTCATTTATAATTAATATAAGCCTCTGTGTGTTTACTTGGGACCAAGGGGGTCTGGGACACCGAAAAACTTCCATCTACACTGCTCCACAACTAATTTTGCCACTGAGCCATGTCTCAGTTCCTAAGCCCATTGGAAATATGTGTTTTTTGATGGTGAGAACTGCTGCAGTATAAAGGATCATTTAATCTCGTTCTGTGCCTTGCATACATAATTTCATAAGGACCTTAAATATAAAAGGGATGACAACACATTTCAAACATGGTTTCCTTATTTTTTTAAATTTCCCCCCTTTATTTTAAACTCAATGATGAAGAAAGAATGACTCCAGTTGTCTACTGTGGTGGTTTAAAAGAAAATGCCCCCAATGGTACAATTAGGAGGTATGGCCTCGTTGGAGTAGGTGTGGTCTTATTGGAGGAAGTATGCCACTGTGTACGTGGGCTTTGAGGTCTTATATATGTTCAAAGGACTCTCAGTGGGAGAAACTACTTCCCATTGCCTGCAAACCAAGATGTAGGACACTGGGCTACCTCTCCAGCACCACTTCTGCCTGTATACTGCCATATCTCACCATGATAATAGTGGACTGCACTTCTGAACTGTAGGTGAGCTGCACCAATTAAATGTTTTCCTTTGTAAGAGTTGCTGTGGTCATAGTGTCTCTTCACAGCAAAAGAAACCCTAAATAAGACATTTATGAACACTATAAAATCAGACAAATTTGTTGAAAAAGTAGCAAACTTTGAGATGGGTGCCTTTTGCTTTGCATCAATCTCTAAAAGAAATATTTGAATTTAAAAGTATCTTTTCACAATGGACATGTGTTTTTAAATTCATAATATCCAAAACTTTGCTCAAGTATAGCATTTCACTATGACAACTATTATTTGAATTAATTTTCCTTTTCAGACTATATTTAATTTTGAACCTATTCTTTGAAAAGTTCATTTTTGATTGAAAACAATTTTTTCTCACAATAAATTCTGATTACAATTTTCCCTTCCCAACTATTCCCCCCTTGTCTTCAACCCCACCCAACTCCAAGCCTTCTTTAACTATCTGCCTTTAGAAAGGTTCATATGTGATACAATATATTTTGATCACTTTATCTAATTGTTCTCATTCTCCTCCACTCTCCCACTCCAACATATCCACTCTGACCTTTCCAACACATCTTTCTCCCAACTTCATGTCCTCATTTCATTTTTTGGCAAACCAATGAGTTTAATGGATGTTGTCCATTTAGTGTGTGAGATCATACACTGAGGCAACCACCAATGGCCACACTTCCAAAGAAAAATTGACTGACTTTTTCTTGCTCAGCATTCATTAACTGCTAATAGCTTCTCAGTTAGAGTTGGAGCATGAGAAGCTCCAATTTCACATTCAATGCTGGAATTTTTAACAGGTTTGATACAAACTCAAAAAGTTTAAGATAGTGGAACTAGCTAGATGGCTCAGCAATTAGAGAACTGACTGCTCATTCAGGGGACCTGGGTTCAATTTTCAGCATCTCCATAGTGGCTACTAACCATCTGGGGAATCTCACATCATGTTCTGGCTTCCATGGACACTAGGCATGAAGGCAAAACAACCATACACATAAAATTTAAAAAGATAAAAAGTTTAAGATACTAAATTATTTTCTCCTTTATGCTAAAAGAATAAAGCAATCAGAACAATTTATTAGGTAATGATAACTGCTGAATTTTTCCAGGAAAAAAATCCACTGTGAATTTGAATGAAATTCTTTCTCTTAGAGTGGAATAAACAGCTGCATCTGCTATTAAAGCATATAAAATTTAAACTCTGGAATCTAGATGTTTTGACATGTGTTCTCATGGCCTTGTTTATTGACCCTATAGTTCAAATTCAAGTAACAATTACGCCTCTTTTGGTAAATGTTTTAATGTACTGTTTGAAGAAGACTTTTACAGGATGGGACCAGCCTCTTGCTTACATACCTCTTTGTTTTAGATGTAAAATGAGTATTACTCCCATAATTGCAAGCACTGAAGTCATGAGTAGCACTGAGCCCTTTAACAAATAAGAAAATCTCTCAGAGCAGTTACCTAAAGAAAAAAAATGTTATTATCATTTGACATTTGTATGGAGGTATGCTACATTTGAAAAAAATATATCAAGAAAGCAAGAGTTATTGTGGGTTATGTGTGTGTGTGTATTTTTTAAAGTTTCATTTTAAAATTTTTTCTTTTAATTTTTGAGGTTATAATATAATTATATCACTTCCCCCTTCCCTTTAAGAGGAACTATTCCCAGGATAATGTGGAAATCAATATAGAGGGGAATGTCAGGGTATAAGTGTAAGGGCTATTTAATGCTTTCTCCTTGTATTCATATAAGAGGGAAAGATTCAGAAGTAGAATATAAGATGACAGGAGTAAAGGGATAGCTGTTTTTAAGGTGGGGCAGGTTTGGGATTGAGACTAAGCAGAACTACAGGAAAGTAGCTAACCTTTACTCCATCTCACTTGTCATGAGAAGGCATTATTAAGAGCAAGAGATAGAGTAATAGAATCCTCATTATCTTTTCTGTGTTTGAAAGAGGCTGAAAGGAAGATAGGTCTGAAGTCCTCTTAACTGCTGAAGAAATCCCAATTTCCATAATGTGAGAACGTACTACCATAGGTAGTTTCCATTCTTCTGTTAGAGAGGTATAGTCTCTGTGGTGGTTTGAATGAGAATGGTCCCCATAGATTCATATATATTGGTTCTCAGTTGCTGGAATTTTCAAGAAAGATTAAGAGGTGTGGTCATGTTGGAGGAGGTGTGTCACTGGTGGAGAATTTTTGTGGTTTCAAAATATTTCCTCCATTTCCATTTTCTTTCTCTCTCTGTAATGCTTATTTGCAAATAAAGATGTAAAAATCTTGGATAATTTCAATAAGGAAAAAATTTCTGAGAAAATTGATCTCTACAAGGTATTATCTAGCATAGAGTTGTGAATTTCTGGCTTTCAAATAAGTGGCCCTATGCCCTTGAATGAGAGGTTGGACATGGCAGCTGATTTAGTCAGATAGCAGTGTTCAGAAGGGAAGCTAGAAATCTACAAGAGAAAACTCAGATACTTCAGAGAAATACAGAAACATTCATACACAAATCCTTACATGATGAACATACTGCAGAAAACTGTGGCAAAAAAATGTACATGAGTTTGAGAATTTAAATTTTATTGGCACATGTTCATCACATTTAGTAATGAATTTCTTTAAGATGTGTACTTTTAGATATATCATAACCATTGACCATATTGTCCCCCCCACACACACACATACTTTTTGCCTCTGCTTCAATTTAGGATCCCCCCAGACAATCTTGTTTTTCCATTCACCTTGCATGTATTTAAAATGTTTCTTGTATCTATGTAAACTCTACAATCCACAAATGAGGAAAATTGTGATATATGTATGATTTCTGAATTATATCAGTTTCCTGGTTCATTCATTTATGTTCTCACAATGACAATTCTGTTCTTTATAACAGAATAAAACTCCAGCATGAATGAATTCCACATTCTCATATATTTTTATCTACTACTCTGTTCACAGACATTAAAACTGATTTCATACTTGGCAATTATGAGTAGTGCTACAATAAATTGAGATGCACAATTATATCAGTTGTATGGTGACTTGGAGTCTTTGGGAGTAAACACCCAGTACCAGTAATACTGGGGCATATAAAGTTCTAATTTAGGTTTCTGAGGAATATTACTGTATGATTTGTCACAGGGAGAAGTGACAATTAACAATCCCAGATACGGTATCTACAACAGAACTAAGAAAGTACTGCACCAAGTCCAGTTTGATGGACTAGTGAGTTTCCTGGGATTACTTGGAGAAACATGGTTGACTCAAGGGTAACTGTATAACTAAAGGATCCTTCCCAGTATGAACGGTGAGTCATAAAAGTTGCTTTCCTGGAACCCTTTGCTTAACTTCTAAGCAACTTCCACTGAAAATATCTTCTCCCCAAAATTTGTTTACTAATTTTGTGAGCAATAATGAGGATGAGAAATGTGAAATTTGAAAGTTGTGTGAGCTTCCTGATGCTTTTAAATTTCCTTAGCCTCCTAAGTGTTATGAGTCTCCTTTCACTCTCCAGGAAAAAAAAAATGTTTCTAGTTGAATGAAAGATCCATAGAATACTCAACGCCTTCCTCCAGTCTTTATACTCTTTTGATGAACTCTTACGACATTTTCTGAACTTTGGAGAAAGTTGTATAAATGTCTACTATTTTTTCATTATGGCTGAAATTTGGACTACTATGTTATAACAAAAGTCACTTATTCTTAGGAGCTTGGCCACTTACAAGTCTACATGGGGAACGCAAAAGAGAAATTTCCTCTACATTCGAATAGCAGAAGTACTCTATAGGTAGAAACACTCATATTTAGAATATAATTTGGTAGTTACTTCACAACTGCTTATCAAAACAGTAGTAGTTGACATGTCATTGTCTGGTGCGATGAAATCCAGCAGTCAGGGAGGGAGCTTCCATCTATGTCCTCTTCTGATTTTTATGTTAGATAGTCAAAGGGTGTAGTGTCTTTAGCAACAGGTGTTATCATATAGTTTTGACACAATCAACAGCAGTATTAATAGCCTTTGCCATTAGTGAGGACTTAGGACTTCATTGGTCCCAGCAGCTTTCTAAAGAGTTAGTTCTCCTATGACAATATATCCTTTTGGCTCCTAGAAGTGTCCTTTTGCTGGTTTTTACTTACACATGGGGGCTTGCAAAAAGTTCCTTAACCGTTGTTTTCACAGATGCTTTTCCAAGTCTATAAGACATTTGTGAATTAGCCTTAAAAAATCAAATTTCTTTTACAGAGGGTAGATAAGTTCTTTAAAGGCTCACTACTGTCCACTTCAAGCAAGAGCCAATTGCTTCTAGTGAGCTAAAAGAACACATAGAGAACATGAGCTGGGATGAAATACTGCATGAAAATATCCCATCATTTGTATCAATTATTTCATTACAAAAGCAATGTTGGTACAAATACATATATAGGAGACACTACCCCTCTAGCCCTAGACAATCCAATCATATTTCATAAGCCATTTGTCCCCACATCCTGGGTTGCTGTTTTGCAGTGATCCTGTGGATCTTTCTACTCTAGATGGTCACCAGCCCGTGCCATTTTGTGCTACTCATCATGGTTCATGTTTAAGCAGGAACAGGGTAATATGTAGCCTGCTATGTCTACTGCTCCAGCTGTCTCCCTGGCTTTGACTAGCTCTTAACCAGCAACATAACCCCATTTCTTCATCAACCATATCTGGTTATTGAAAGATGGTAGATGAAAATCTTCACTTGTAGTTTACTTATTTCATGGGAGAAACATACATCACATATTCACACAGAGAATAATTGCCCTTCTCTATGTCAAACTCAATAATTTTCCTATGCTGCTTTATCATCTATGCCTCCAATGAACTTTTTCTCAGGCTTTTAAGCCTTCTCAATACTCACAGGGATATAGCATATTGGTAAAAATTTCTCTTAGCATTTCAGTTGTCACATTTGACTTTGAGTGAACATAGCAGACTTTTTTTGTATACAACTTCCTGTGTTTATCACATATTCACTGCATTAGCCTGTTAACAACCCAATTTAATTGCCAATTTAAATCATGTAAATCTGTCAAAACCTCTTCTACCTCACAAAGATCACATCCCACGATGGGGCTCAGCCAAGCTGTTGAAGTTCCATACCAAGAGCTGAGTTAACTTTTTCCTTGAGTTTTTCTGTAATCAGATGCTAACCAGCCTGTTAAACTGGGCACTGATACCACCTCCTGTATGCCAAATTCCCTTGGTGATAACTATCCTTCTTCTATTGTCTTCCAATCTGTTACATGAATTGCTAAATGATCTTATTAATAAAAAAAAGTGGATCCAGATATTGGGGTGACACCTGAAAGATCAGAGGAACAGAAAAAGGCAGCCACAAGTTCTTACCACTAGGAAATCATCTACCCAAGAGAGATACTTCAGGTATACTTATGCCTTGTATACCTTTCTGTGACCTGCCATCTTACTTCCTCCCTCTACCCAGCTACATCACTTCCTGTTTCCATCTAGTTCTATCACTTCCTGTCTATGTGTATAGACCTCCAGACCTCTATGTTTAACTAGTGCTAGGATTCAAGGGATGTGCCACCACACCTGACTCTGTTCCCAGGGTGGCCTTGAACTCACAGAGATTCAGATGAATCTCTACCTACCAAATGCTAGGATTTAAGGCAGGTGCTACCACTGCCTGACCTCTATATCTATTATAGTGGCTGGCTTTGTCCTCTGATCCCCAGGCAAGCTTTATTTGTTAGAGCACAAATAAAATATCACCACTTTTCCTCTTTTGTTGACTAAAAAAGTTATAACTAATATAAGAAAAACTATATACAATAAGTACAATAACTATATACAATACATACAAGCAATAAATACACCAACAATGTCTACTCCATTTGTATTTGAGAAATTCAGTGAAAATATTCCATTATCTATCCTATTTGGAGAATCCAAAATGTACCTAATTCACTTTCTATCCTAACTTGTATTACCAATTAAAAACTATCTTTTGATGTCTTTCAAACTTATACACTTTAAACCTCTTTAGTGAGTTTCTTTTCTGAATTTGCTAACATGGGAAACTATAACTATCTAATCTTCAACTGCCTCAAAGATCTGAGAAGGAATAATATTACTTAGTTAAACAGGAAGTACAAACAAGCGACTTCCAAAAAAATGTAAGGAGTGGCATGCTGCTTGTTGGAATAGACCAACTGCTTCCTGGAGTTGGTGGTAGGCATACCTCCACCATGTTGGGAAGCTGATATGGGTGCAGTCAACAGCCAAGCCTGCTGTTGGTCCTAGCCATGCAGCTTAGCAGTATAAAATCTCTCCTTGTCAGAGAAGGATTATAGATTCACAATAACACAGATTCAGGTGGAATAAAACTCTAAATGGTTTATAGTGTATATAAAAATGTATGTAGGCTTAGTCTCTGTGTTTACTTGGTTGGGTCTGAGCAGCTGTGGGACTG